ATACTCAAAAGAGTTTATTCAATTCATAAGACAACGTTTATGTCATCAGTATTTGGAAGTAGTAATCGTACTTATAATCCGACAACTGATGTGCGTGTAGTCAAGGAGAGTGAATATTTTATGGAAATTCGTGGAGAAATTCAAATTGTATGTAATGCGAGTCGAGCGATTCTAGTCTTTTTTGAATCTGAAGAGAAATTAATAGCATTTTATAATTCTTCTGAATTGTCTAGTATAAAACAAGATGTACAAATAATAATGGAAAAAGTTAATGTAAAAGAGAGAGAGTTGTTTATTAAACGAGCAGCAATAGTTGGCAGCGTTACACTGTTAACTCGAACATTTGGACGAGGAACTGATTTTATGTGTCGTAACCAACAGCTTTTATTGAATGGTGGTATTCATGTACTTCAGACATTTTTTTCAGCTGAATTATCCGAAGAATATCAAATTATGGGACGAGGAGCCCGACAGGGTGATAGGGGCTCATATAGAATGATTTTATTGGATAAAGATTTAGAATGGGTTCTTGGTTCTATGTGGAAAGAAGAACTTCCAAAGATTTCAAGTACTACTCTTTATGAAGCTTTAAATAAGGCTCGTAGCGCACGTTATGAAAGTAAATGCGGTGCAAAAGATCTTAACATAGAGCAATGTAAGTGTGATCATAAAGCTTCTAAAGATTTTATGGCTGCATTATCTGCGAGAAATATGAACGTAGTAAAGAACTTTTTGAGCGAACAAAATAAAGGAGCTAATATAATTAACGTGTCTTCACGCACAGTATTGCTTATGGACGCTACCGGCTCTATGTCAACCTTGTTATCTGCTGCCAAAGAAACTGTTTGTACGATGTTTGAACGCGCTTCAACTGTTTTAAAGGAAAAAGGATTGCCTAATGATGCATTTCAAATGCAATTTGTAGTTTATAGAGACTATGATTGTAAAGAAGATGGAATTCTTCAGAGTTCATCTTGGGAAACGAAACCGGGTAATTTAAGATCTTTTATGGAAAAAATCTCTGCTAAAGGTGGTGGGGATTATGAAGAAGCGATTGAAATAGGATTGTGGCATGCACTTCAGCAAAATGAACAACCAGATGGGATTTCTCAGATAATTTTGATCGGAGATGCACCAGCAAAAGATAAATCAGCAATAACCAGAGACAGACAAGATAATGGCGGTGAAGCATACTGGAGTAAAACTAAATTTATAACTCCAACTCATTATAAACAGGAAGTTAAAAAATTAAAAGCTAAAAATATTCCTGTTCATTCATTTTATCTCGCTGCAGGAGCTAAAAGAAATTTCGAAGAAATTGCGAGTGAGACATTAGGACGTTGTGAATCACTGAAAATTCAGTCTTCTCAGGGTGCCGAACTGCTGACTCACTTTGTAACAGAAGAAGTACTTAGAAAAACAGCTGGTGATGAAGGAAATGCCGCAGTAGAACTATATAGGAAGAAATATGTGAGGACAACTTTTACATCTTAAAGAGTTTCATCGATTTCTCGGCATCTTCTCGTTTAATCTTGCTATGTGTATTCAAGAGATATTTCGTGTCCATGAAAAGTTTGATGTATATAAATATCTAAAATTGTGACCCCACATAGTTAGCCGCACATTCGCTTATTTCTTTTTTATTGTATTTGTTCAAAAAGGGTAATTTTATTATTTTCATTTCATTATCTTTTTATTCTTATTACTTTTATTTTTACTTATATCAAAAATATTTCTATTGTTTTTTTTCGCGTTTGAGGATTTTCGAATACTTAAATGTCTTGTTCATGATTCTTTTTATATTATTTTCGATTTTTTTTGTGCAAAATAAATTCAATTTCGTCGTATATTATTATTGGCGAGTAAGATAATTACAATATCGAAAAACTTATCATGCAGTCTGTTCTAATTCATATTGCAAACTCAATTCTTTTCAAT